AAAGTAAACCATTGACATTCTTACAATATTTCAACAAACAACAGTATCATGTTAGTTGGTTGGAGGCAGCTGACAGGATGCCGCAGATCTAGGTTTTGTGCTTGTTGGCACTCGTCAGCATGGCGTATCTATGACCTCGACTGAACTGATATCCTGACTGAGATTTGGGCCTGTGTCACTAGGTTTTGTGATCAGTGACTTTGCCACTGAGCTATTCGAACAGCGATTGACTTCTTTTAGGACTGAATTACATGTATTGATGGTCAGGTGGGATATCAGTTCCTTAGAGGTTGTAGATATGCCTTACTGACGAGTGCCAACAAGCACGAAACCTAGGTTCGGAGTATCTTGTTGAGTGTCGTCAACCAACTAACATCTACTTCTGTGCACTAAGATGCTGAGCCTCTTCCTCTCCTGTAATCAATCAAAACATTATTATGTGCTTATGCAGTGAGGCAACGATAACTGAAGGAAACAGTTAAAAATACTCTTCCAGTTGATGATTAACTTTTAATTACTTTCTGGCACATCTTTTTTAGTTTTTGATTAATTCTTTATTATTTTTCAGGTTAGTCTTATACGTCAAAAAGAATATCATTCACTTTCAAATATGGCCTTAGAGAGGACTGAAGTACTTTATGGCAATTGGTATATGGATGTATATGAACCTAGTGTCAATATGTCAACTTATTTGTTAGGATTTGTAGTCTCACAGTTTGCATCAATTCGGGAATCGACTCTAAAGGAAGAAATGTAAGTCAAAGTGAATGAGAATAGAATATTTATTTGTTGAAGGTTTTTTTTCTACAGAGTTTTACTTTCAGTCGATTTTTGACTTCTATACTTTTAATAATGATAATAATAATAATCGCTTTATTCTAAACAATAAGTATGACAATATGGAATTCTCAGAATATAATTTTTCAACAAATCCACTTCCAGAACAACAAAATGGTTATTACATCTGCATAATGTTAATAATAACAGTATTCAAGGCAATAACTATGATATAGCTACCTGGTTCTGGATAAGCATACGGTTCATAATGATGAATCAACAGAAATACAAACTTAATTTTGGTGATAGTGGTCCATTTATTAAATTGTATACAAATCTACAACTTAAGCTAACCATCTGATGGATAGAAATACAATGTACTAATGTGCACTGAAAAGTCCATTTCCATATAAAGTAATCTTTTTCACCCTGGTTTGTTATTGACTTGAGAACAGTTTAAAAATGTGTTAGAGTACATGATACGTTCAAAGGACATAATTAAGCGATTAAAACAAATTGAAAGGAAGGAATTTGATGAAAGATGTTCAATGAATAAATATGTTAGATCAAGGTTCAAGTAGGCTGCTTATTACATATAGTGTGAATAAAGATTAAAAAAAGTCAGAAAGATAGGCGACTAAAACCAATTGAAAACAAGCAAAATGAAAGCAATTCTACTAGTTTACAACCACTGCTCTTGTAAATAATGAGCTGACATTAGAACAGTACTACTGAAGATTCTAAAAATAATTAAGGTAAAAAATTATCACCAAACTGTAATGAATTTATAAGGTTTCTGTCTAATGATTATGCTTTTCATATAGTTGCATGTACTTCCTCAATATATCGATTTATGTGCAGAAATTGTTTTGTAATTTGCCCGTATGCTGTAATTATAGTTATTAAGCAATTTGAGTCTGTTGCTAGAATGATCACGAAAGTGAGAAACCATATAGTCTGACAGAAAAGCACTTTCCTACTTGAAATAATGGAGAATATTTGTATGTCAGGTGTATGGTCCTGGTTACATTGCGTACTTTGAGCTCGGTTGTTTAATCGTGAAGCTTTCATCGTCTTGCGAAACGACATCATCAGCACTAACTACAGTATGAAGTGAGCTGTCAGTATCTCTCCGTGAGTGATTTAGTAGCTTGCCATGACAATGTGGTCTCTGATTGGTTGTTTCCTACGACTGTTGTGTCATTCATTCTATAGACTTTCCTGTTGGCTGTCCCTATGCTTCACCTATGACCTCTCTGTCATTCATCACTTTTCTTACTGGTTGATAGATTGGGTCTATGTCTATACATCTATTGATTACTGACTGGCTTATTGACCTGAATGCTAAGCTTCTTGGAATTCTTTGATATTCCTTGTTTCCTCTGTCCAAGATTTCTATATTGTCAAAATCCAATCTATGTCCATAGTCATCCACGTGTATTGAAATGAGTGATGAAATGACATGGTGTTTAATAGGCGATTGTTTTTCATGTAGATGAAGGTGAAGAGGGCAGCCACTTTGTCCAATGTAGTGTTGACTAGAGTTATTGCGGTTGATCTTGTAAATGATATTCGGTTTATCTTGTTTGGTTGTTGTATCCTTTGGTCTGCATAATAGTGTTTATTGAGGGAATTTGTTGGTTCATGAGCTACACCGATTCCAGGTGGTCTCAGTAAGCTCAGCGTGATTTCTGATACACTTACACTACACTGCTTATTCTAACTGGGAAATACTAAAAAATATTTACCGGAATCCAATATCAGTTATTCAGTATATGCCGTCTATGAGTTTTATGCTTTCACAGTATAAGTGGAATTCGGTGAAACATTAAATCCATCACGCTATGGTTATCTGCTCAGATGATATTTTCAACGAGAAGTTCCATTGTGTAAGTGACCTAGTGAAGAGAATCAAGAAGTCAAAGTCTAATCAGCAACTTTGTATACATCTTTGCAGTGAGCATTGAACAACAACAACAACTTTATTGATTTCGATTTATACTCTTTAAGGAAAGAGTCTTCCCAGTAAGATCGAAATGTTGAGAAGAAGAATAATATAAAATATTTATTTATTTATTTATTTTTTATAAGGTAAAAATACACGTTATATAATGAATTTTTAATGAACAAATTTTCTTACTTTTTCTATCAATTATCAATCAGTTCACCGTTTGGGCAAGACCAGATAAAATTCATTCAGCTAGATATGCAATGGAGATAGGAAAACAAATTATTGGCTTTTTTGAAGATTACTTTGAATTATCTTATCCACTCAAAAAAACAGGTGAGTATAAACTTCACATGTTTATTTATTCTAATATTTCATAACTATAGAAATTTCCTGTTTTGGGTCAGTGATGATAGTTCATTCTTATGTATCCGACTGATATGACACAAACATGGATCGCGCGTTTTTTTGTTAAGTTACTATTGTTACTAATGTTACATGTTTAATACATTTACATAGTTCTAAATACAATGAATTAGATTTTTATTCAAAAACCAACAAGTATCTTATTCTTTCTAACTTTAAAGTTTACTGGATTGATAATCTACTTTTCACTGTGACATACACAAACTATATGAGGTTAAGCATTCTACCTTTTGAGATGAAGTAGAAAACTGATATGTGGAAAACAAATAAGTAAACGTTATTTATATTCACCTTGGGTTCCTAGTGGAACATACAGCTTCAGTAACACGTCTCCATTCCACCCTCTTCTCTCAAATCTTTTGAACCTGACGCCATGACTGCCCACAAACTCTCATTTCTTCCTCACACAATCCCCTCCATGTCACTCTCACCTCAGACGCCCAACTCATCCATTCCCATCGAGGCTCCATTACACGGCCTCACCTGACGCGTCATGTCCCCAATCGGCCTTCTCAGTGTATGCCCAGTCCAACCCATCCACACTTCCTTCCAGTGCATACTTGTTGAACGATAGCTTCTCGGTTGCTTCGTTACCAGCCAGAGTGAATTCCTTGTTGTTTATTCTTTTTATTCTGGCCATGTGATCTTCAGTGAGGAGCCAGCGTACGTGGCAGTTGTTCATGAATGTGTGTAGTTTGTTGGAAGTGCTTTACGTAACACACCACGTTTCTGAACCATCACATGGAAGCACTGAATTGACTGATATTGGTGTCACAAATCCGGATCCTGTCCACGCTTTATGCTGAGTGCAGTAGACCTCCATACTGATTTCAGATTGGTGAAAGCCTGTCTTGCTGTCTTTCGAATCCTGGTTTTGACATGCTTGTCTGTACCACCACCTGTTGTTGAAACGATGCTGGCTTGTCTAGGTAAGTGAAATAGACTACTTCCTTCAGATTTGTCCTGTTATTGGTGATTGGTGCCTCCTGTTGTTGATGCTGTTGTTGACTGGGTATCTTCATGAACTTCGTCTTCTCTACCTCCACTTGAAGTCCCTTCCTCGCTGCGTTGCCTCTTCTGTCAACTTGTTAGTTTTTGTCTGTAGATCTTCGAGTTTCCGCGACAAGACATTAGACGTAAAACATCATCGGCGGTGAAATTGAAATCTTCTTCTCTGGTCTTTACATTGGTCTGGCCAGCGCATGCCCATCCTCTCGCTCCTCACGGTTTGCTGCATGATCCAGTCGACCACAATGATAAAGATCATCCGTGATGACAGTAGGCGGCCTTGTCTTACACTTGTCTTCACTTCAAAAGAGTCACTGAGCATCCCATTATCAATCACTTCGAATGTGGCATCTTCAAATGGCTGCTGTTCAGTGAGGTTGATAAAGACTAGTGACACTCCGTAGTTTTGAAGCAGCTGCAAGGGAAATTACTCCTCGGTTGACGCTGTCGACGGCCTTTTCAAAGTCAATAAAGTTGAGGTAGAGATCGAGTTGCCTGCCATTCTATAATATGGCAAGTCACAGCTTGCTATCATGCTTGTGACAACGCTTTCAAACAATTGACATTTCAATTATTTATTGTATCAGGTGTAGTTTGGCAAAAAGGTGACAAAATCATCTTGTCTACAAATAATGGTGGATATTGACTAGCAGTGGGACCTGTGACACTTGTTCGACACTTTTCTAACATTACATTATATACTGAAGCGTTACAAACTGGAATGTCGATTTCCACTACTCGTTACCTGTACAGTGGGTACAGCCTGATAACGTGGTAGAAAATTTAAAGCTGTCTGCAATATGAAAGCATCTACTCAGTAATCTATATGCTAATAATGATCAACCCATTCTATCCAATCAACGTCGAGAATCTGAGATCTATGGCGTCGTACTTTAAGCACATCCATTACAAACAATCTCTTTGCCATCTCTACAATTCATAAATCTGCTAGATAAGTTCTATCATCGTTTGGCTTAGGAAAAATGGATAACCTGTTTTATAATTTATTCAAATAACATTTTTAAGTATTTAGGCGGTTTGTATCCGTCTAATTCTGAAACGCTTCATCATATTCTGTTATTAAACCGGATCATATACTGTACAAAAATGAATAAAACAGTTATACGTCAAAGTGCAAGAAATATTCTTGACTTCTTTACACACAAAAAAAGTATTCTTGGTTAATTATATTATACCTTCTCTTTAAAATCTCAGATATGGTTGCTGTACCAGATTTTGCTGCTGGTGCAATGGAAAATTGGGGTCTTATGATATATCGAGAGGCGACAATGTTATGGGATCCAAACTATGGCACAGCAGCAACACAACAAAAGGTGGCAACTGTGATTTCACATGAAATTGCTCATCAGGTAAGAAATAACCAGTAATAAATGGGATTCAGTTGTTTTTTGACCGTTATTTTAATGCATTTTTTTCTTCGGTAAAAATTCAATATAAGTTGCTGAGGTAACTATTAGAAGAAAACAGTATTCAGTCTGGGAAATGTAAGCGAAAACATTATTGGATTAGAAGGATTTTCTTTCTGTCATTTGTATCTAACTATCCTGTAGCTGAAAGCTAAATAACTGAGGTAACTCATAACTGCATAATCAATATTTAAGTGTCTATTACAATCGGATGCGTTTTGATAACTGGATTGATACTTTTTTATCTAAAACACAACTCAAATAGAACTTCCATAAAACATTTTCCGTGTTATATTTTCCCAAATTAATATTTTATGAAATTATTATCATTATTTGTCCCTTGGCTTCCTAGTGGAACATATGGCTTCAATACCACGTCTCCATTCCACTCTCTTCTCTCAAATCTTTTGAACCTGACGCCATGACTGCCCACAAACTCTCATTTCTTCCTCACACAATCCCCTCCATCCCACCCTCACCTCAGACGCCATACTCATCCATTCCAATCTGGGTTCCACTCGACGGATTGGCCTGACGCGCGATGCTCTCAACGTTAAAATCATACCCCAATTGGTCTGAAAAACACAGAAGAAGAACTAATATCTTCCAAATAATTACCAATTATTCTATAAACAATTCATAATCAACTTTACTCATGTTTTAAGTAAACAAGAGAATTCAGTTAATTAGATTATAGCTAAAAAAGACAACAACAACAACTATGAACTGAAATAAATAGTGAACTTTTATCTGATACACAGACAATGTTTTGATCAAGATTTAAGCAAGGTTAGATAAACAGAAAGTTAATTTATAAACTTTTTTGTTATAAAACTGAAATTTCACTTCAATATCTATTGATATAATCAATTTTTATGTTTATATCTGTAGTGGTTTGGAAATTTAGTGACTTTAAAATGGTGGGATGATCTATGGTTGAATGAAGGTTTTGCCAGTTTTGCTGAGTACATTGGAGTTGATCATGTTCATCCAGAATGGGGAATGGTATGTTATCACTGTCTATTAAAAATAAAGTTTATTTATATTATTATTATTATATTATTATTATTTATCCCTTGTGTTCCTAGTGGAACATACAGCTTCAGTGACACATCTCCATTCCACTCTCTTCTCTCAAATCTTTTCACTCTGGCTCCATGACTACCCACAAGCTCTCATTTCTTCCTCACACAATCCCCTCCATCCCACCCTCATCACAGACGTCCAACTCATCCCTTCCCATCTGGGTTCAACTCGACGGACTGGCCTGACGCGTGATGTCCCCAATAGGACTTCTCCGTGTATGCCCACTACAATCCATCTACACTTCCTTCCAGTGCACATTTGTTAAGTGAAAGGTTGCTGGTTGGTTCGTTGCCAGCCAGAATGAATTCCTTGTTGTTTATTCTTTTTATTCTGGCCACGTGATCTTCATTGAGGAGCCAGCGTATGTGTCAGTTTTTGATGAATATCTGTAGTTTGTTGAAAACGTTGATTCAATTAAGTTTAGTCAAATAGTTAAATACTTTATACAGACTTTAAATGTTTCAAATTGATGTAAATGATATGCTATTTAATTCGAAAAAGTAATAAGATTTTCTCCTGTAAATAATCTATTCCTATGAAATCTGAGTGCTTTAATGTGTTTATCAACCGAAAAGTGTTTTTCAGAAGAATGATAATGTTAACAGATTTGATGTGTACTTTATTATATTCTAAATTGCATAAAATCAAAATCACTTTCATGTTTTTGCGTCTAGGATGAAAAATGAATTATAAGATACAGGATAAAAGAGTACAAACAAAGCGCCTATACAGTCTGTTTGCATACATACAATAAACAACTTGATAACTAGGCTGAAATCAGCTACTTCGCTTCTGAGAAGATAATGATACTGAATGATTTGAATATCGGAACAGATTTTCAGCAAATATGAAGCCAAATGAACAATATAACGAAGTAGTCAGCTTGAAGGCTAACAGTGGGTGGGTTAACCTCCATCTCACTGAGACTCGAACCCTTTACCCATCGATTCAGATGCTACAGCGTTAACCATTAGGTCAGTGAGGCTTAAGAACTCCCTTCTAGACAACACAAATTAGTTATTGGTTGATATTTGTAGTCTCCCGTCAGTATACTGGATGGAATTGCTCAACATTTATTGACAGATGGACTTCTTTGCGGATGCCTGGATATATTACTCGATGGGAAAAAGTTAACAGCTTAAATATACCTTTTCCTCTCAACTCATGATACAGTTTTCTATTTCCTTCTCATCAAACACTTCGTTTCGGTACTGGTTTGACATGACACTTGCTTATCTCTTCACCAGGAAATATTTTATACTTTCGCCTTATTACAAATGTCTATTTCAACTTACCAACAAATTGTATATTTGTAAAGTTTCTATTAAATTATATAGGATGAACAGTTTCTTCTGGATGATATACAGAAGGTGTTGATCAGTGATTCATTAACAACTTCACGTCCAGTAATTCAACCTGTTTATTATCCCAATGAAATTAATGAAATTTTTGATCCAATATCCTATAATAAAGTAAGTATACTTTCTATCATTATGTGAATTAAAAGGCTATTATTATTATTATTATTATTATTATTATTATTATTATTATATGTAGGATTTCCTAAATAGATTTTAACAAATTGAGTACCAAAAGTATTTCAGGTCATTTCATTTGAAGATAAATAGTGTGAGATGTTGCTAGGGGAACTATGCCTCATTGGTTTGGGTATCTAATTACCAATCGATGAGTTATAGGTTCGAATTCAATTCCACCTATCAAAGAGTGGATAGCAAGGTTGTTTTGTTAACCTTCATACAATAAGTGTGGTTCATTATCTTTAGTAAATAACGAGTTGAAAATTTCTGAGTAAATTTTTATACTACTTATTTGGATAAATATGCTAATTGGTTTTTCTACTTTACAGAAAACTGTCAGTGTTTATCATTAGTGTATACTACTTGTTTGGTACCCTCTTGTTTGGTGTTTTGGGCAGTCATTTAACTGAAGAATAAATTAATCCACTCATAGAGAAGACTGAATCACCAAAAGGGTATTAAAGTATCAATTAGCTGGTTTCTTTCAATCGAATAAGCCTTCTGTTTGTAAGCTGTCTACATCTTGTGATAATTTATGGATGAAACAGTTAAATAAGGCATGAATTACTACTTATATGATGCAATTTGGATTCATCACAAGTGAGAGTTTGTAATGCAAAGCTAATTAAACTGCATACAGAGATCATCAAGAAAATTCATCATTTCTCAGTTATCTGACTTCCCATTGGAACATCTAATAAAAGTTAATCATAAGAGAGAAAAGAAATAAAACTGAGGCTGTAATCTGTAGAAGACAAAAGCAAAGATTGAGATGTAGTCATTCACTTTCATTACACTACTTAGATGAAGATAAGACACTGGTGAAACTGATTTATGATGATTCATCTAAATGTATTAAATTTACTTATTCCAACCACTGAAAATCCATAAAGCATACGGTATGAAATACCTTCAAACAATCTCAGTCAATTAAACTGTCCCAACGGTTTGACCGATTTAAATACTTTTCCGTTCACTGTTCACGTAACCCTACATTGTTCTTATAATCATAGTACTGAGTGTTACTGATGCTACAAACCAAAAAGTTAACTAAGGTGTCTGTAGTCTTTGCAAATGTTTTATTTTCAGAAAGCATCTTTTCCAATTAGTTAGTAAAAAAACTAGACAAGAGTTTTGATATCACTTTCGTGTACCAAACGGAATAAGCTTGTATTATTCAGGTGAACCTTATGAACTATTTTTGGGATTTATCTGAAAAATGTTTATGCTGATTAACATTTTTCATATTATGAGTACATGTTGCCGTGAACCTCTTAGCTTGGTTGATAGAGCATTGAGTAGGAAATTTGGTGGTCACTGATTCTAATCTGACCGCGGTTCAAACTTTCATTTCACCTTCAATCATCACCCAGTATAAATACTAGTCTGGCAAACTATGACTATCTCAGATAGTCAAATGATAATCAATATGATGGTCTCCTTCTCTGATTCAGTTAGATTTCGATTGAGATGAGAAGTGATGACCAGGCAGGCAATGTGAATACGATCAAGTGGTAGTAGCCGGTCAGGAATTCACACGGTAGTCAGGTGAAACCCTTGGTCAGCAGTCCAACCTGGTAGCCAAGTCGGTAGAGCAGGAAATCCGGTGGTCGTCCGTCCGAGTCCAGCCATGGTTGAAATTTCCATCTCACATTCAATCATCAAACAGTAAAAATACTTATCTACCAAACTATGACTATCTAAGATATTGAAATAGTATAAATAATCCTCAAAGATTCTCTCTCTGGTTTATTTAATGATTCTTGTAGCCATAGAACAAAAACAACCAGGTGTAAAATTATCTGCTTTCCCTTGATTTTGTACAACATGACACATATCGGTTATTGAAAAGTCTCATTGTTTCACTGTTTTCAGTTTAGTACTTAGAATAAATTGAATTTTTGTATATGGAACATGAAGATGACACTAGTATTCTTCATCATAATGACTAATAAACTTTAAGGGTCGGCTTTACATGAATGATACAGATTAATGCAAAATACAACTCAGATTAATGTGATATGATGACAACTTTCTACCCAATCCAAGATCTGAATATCATTGTGTTTACTTATTATGCTTCATTCATATAAGTGAAAAACTTGGGCACTGTGGTAGAATGTAGTTCCATATTAGATTTGTTTATTTGATATAAAGCGCACAGTGATACAGTATTATTTACTTGATTACGTTTCGAGCATAAATTATTGCTCATAATCATATCAATGTAATCACACTTCTTTCGACATCTGATTTTATAGTCCTGTCACCTGATCTCTCTTTGTTTTTTTTTTTTTTTGTTTTTTGATTGGTAGTAAAGTTTTCCATATCTCTGGTATAGGTGTTGCGTCATTCCTATTACATGTGTTGGGTGTGAATTCGATGAACAAAGATTCAGTAATTAATCTCTCTCTCCACCTAGCTATATTAGACTTAAGTACAGTGGTTTTGTCCCATCCTATTGTGTGGTTGTGTGTTAATGAATGTAATGCAATGACTGAGTGTTTTTCTAGGTATCTAGACTTCAAGTCATCTCATCCAGTGTCAGTTAAAGCGGGTTTAGTCAAATGTCTAAATAACAGAGCTGAGAAACTCACTAGTCATTGTAAGGACTTAAATAAGGAATTGAAACACATAAAAGAAGCGTTAATAACTAATAATTATCCCCATCATTTTATTAAGAAATTCACACGGACGCATAAGAAGCAAAATAATAACACTAATACAAATACAAATAATAGTGACAACATAAGTAGAAAGGAAATCAGCACCTCTATTGTGATACCATACAAGGAAGGAACATCAGAAACCATACGTAGGATTCTCAACAAGGTTGGAATTAGGGTGGCATTTAAACCAACAAACTCACTTAGAGGTAAGCTTTGTCGGCTAAAAGATCCGATAGAACCAATTAAGCAAAATAATATAATCTACCAAATTCCATGTAATGACTGTGAAGTCAAATACATAGGTCAAACTAGCCGGTCGGGGTCAGTTAGATTAACAGAACATAGGAATTTAGCTAAACATAGAACGACAGACCCCAATAAGATCAATAACCTAGAAAAACACTCAGCCATTGCATTACATTCATTAACACACAACCACACAATAGGATGGGACAAAACCACTGTACTTAAGTCTAATATAGCTAGGTGGAGAGAGAGATTAATTACTGAATCTTTGTTCATCGAATTCACACCCAACACATGTAATAGGAATGACGCAACACCTATACCAGAGATATGGAAAACTTTACTACCAATCAAAAAACAAAAAAAAAAAACAAAGAGAGATCAGGTGACAGGACTATAAAATCAGATGTCGAAAGAAGTGTGATTACATTGATATGATTATGCTCGAAACGTAATCAAGTAAATAATACTGTATCACTGTGCGCTTTATATCAAATAAACAAATCTAATATGGAACTATGCTTCATTCATATTGGAGTCTTAGAAGGAAATGGATGAGAGATGATGAGATATTCACACACACCTTCAACTAGCCATATTTCAATCTCTTTCTATCAGGCTAATGAGCAATAATTCTACAATATATCACAAGTGTACATACAACATAACCATTTTGATGACATAATGTGTAGATGTGTAGATTATTGGTTAGATGGTTACCTTTTTTTCTAAAATAGTAGTAGTATAGAAAATAATCAACATTTTTCCTTTCTTACGAAGTTTCTAAAACTGTTTAAGAAATAGTACTTACTGTACACTGAGATCGAAGTAAATTGTTTGAGAAAAAAAGTAAACTTGAACTAGTTAAAGGATATTCTACTGAGTTTCAAATCTTCTTTTTGTTTAGTTAATTCCAAAAACAATTTTAAATTTAATCGTTTTACATTTGTAATATATAAAAATTTCGATTACTTAATACATATGAAACAAGTTTAGTCATTCATTAATAAGATACAGTATAAACTTTCGAGTTATTCATACTTGAAGAAGTGTAATGCAATATATGTGTATCTTTTTATTATATACTTCAATATTTTCAAGTTTTTTTGACATCATCTATTGATGAAGAAAATTTTATTGTACTAAAATCACTAACATGAATATAAAAAGTTGCGATCAGTTCTCTCAGGCTATAAGTTGAACTGATTGATCTATGAAATTCTTAGATCTACACAAACATCTAGTGAATATGAAGTCAACTTTCAGCTTCTCTTAACGGATTCCAGTAACAACCAATTGAATATAAAGTTCGCCTAAACATTCAAATGAAATATAAGGGTAATGTATAGCAAGATATTATCTGTAATAAAATACTACTTATTTGGTTAACTATATATATTTTATGTATTGCACAAATTCTTTACTCATTTGTCCAACCAATTTTACTCTTAACTTTTGTTTTAAAGGGTGCATCTGTCTTAAGAATGATGGAGTCATTTATGGGTCGAAATGCATTTCGAGCAGGTGTCAAGGTATGTTTAAACAAAAGATTAAGGTTGAATATATAACGTCATGTCTTAAGATAATCATTTGAAATCGTGAAACACAACAATTTTTGTCGTTCACAGCATAAAGCCTTCACAGTGTGTAAGAAGATAACATTATTTCCATGTTGTTACAGAGTTTACTGGTGAGTAAAGTTTTCACGTCATTTCAGTATTGACTAGACTAAAATGTGTCACAGATGCACGAATTCTGTGACTGTTGATTTAGACAGGGTTGAGAGGTGTAGACTAACTTGCTGGAGTCCCCAAGAGGATAAAAATCAGATGTAGGAGACTAGGTGACGTTGCTGAAAATCAGTCACAATGCCAATCCAGTTTAACTTCGTAATAGACATTCTATTAGACATAACCTTAGATCGGTCTGACTTCACATGGATTTATCTCCCCCCATCACCCCCTGAAGGCCCTCTGGTTGATTTGAGGCATGCAGACGATATTGTCCTGCTAGATGAAGACGCTAATGCAGAGTTCACTGGTGAGTAAAGTTTTCACGTCATTTCAGTATTGACTAGACTAAAACTTGTCTGTTCATGAAACAAATACAGTTGGGACTAGTTAGGATATTTTTGAAAAATGAACCGACATATATCATATTTTCTGTGGACTCATTCAGTACCACTTTTACTCATATCAACTTTGCTAGAATTATGAGATCACTGCGAAATTGATGTTTGCCGAGAATCCTAAAGTTATCCAATAAGTAAATAGGGGAAGTTACGAAATTAATTCTGATGTGGATAGTAAAAATGTGAAACTCTACAACCGTAAGACTTTTGAGGTATCGTTGAACACACGAATAGTATAAGCTTAGTTAGAATGTCTTTTTATCAATAGTAATGTACAAAAAGAGTGGCTGAATTGGACATACTATATTTTTATCAAGTTGCTACCCATCATGGACTGACACCAGTTGGAGAAACACTGGGATGCTGGGAGAACTAGATAGCTGTTTCGTCCTAGTATGGGACTCCTCATCAGTACGCGCCCGTGACCCCACCCCACCAGGGATCAAATCCTCGACCTTCAGATTCCACGGTTAACACGTTTTACACTGGTTCAAACTTCGATGTTAGTCACACTTTGTCTAACTTATGAATTAGGTTATACTTCAGCTACGTTAAAGAATTTGAAGATTGAAGGTATCCTGACCAACAATGGACTGGATGGTTTGAAAAATCTTGGGCACCGAGTTAGTATGATTCATTGTATAAGGTGTATTTTTACTTGTGTAATCCTAGCGTAGTATATTAGAACAGGTAACAAAATAAACAAATATTTTGTATTATTCCTTAAAGTTTCCATCTTACTAAGATGATCCTTTTCAAGAGTATAAATCTGATATTAAGCTTTCAGGTTAATATTCAAGTTTTGTTACAGAAGGTGGTGGTGACCTTTAAAATTATCCAATTACATCGTGATATGGAGCAAAGATCTATGTAACACAGGTGAGTGAATAAGCATATCGATCAGAGAGGCTCGCACAACTGAAAAAAGCCTCACTCACATCGATGTTTGCCCGATATCAAGATGTAATTGGATGACACTTTGTTAATATCAAGCTTACACAAACCGAAGTTAGTAATTCGCAGTTTCTTTTTTCAAAACAATCTGAACAGTAATTTTCACTGTCTATTTCACGTATTATGTAAATAATGGTTATGTTTCCATCTGTTTTGTAGTGTATCTTTCTCTGTGATAAGAATAGCCTTAATAAAAGACAATTCTGAGAAAAAGAGTTTCTTTTCGACGAATCATTTCCAACAGCTGTACATCGATCGTAATCATAGTTACAACAAAATATCTACTTCAATTAATGGCTAAGGAGTCAATATATGGTCATCAAAAATGGTCAACAAAGTCACAAGATGGTAGGTGACAGGTAGGTCATATCAAGGTCACCAATTATTGCTCATAGGATTATATTAGATGAAAACAGAAGTGAATAAACAGTTTTATAGAGATCATGACCAAGGTAAAATTGGAGATTGAATGTTTCTCTTCTGAACGCAAAGAACAGGCTTGTAGTGCCGGATTATCACAGCTTTTGCTATATTGAGCTGGTGAATATGCACTCACTTCGAAATGTTTGTCTTCACTTTATAAATGACTTTGAAAGAAGACTCCAATGGTTACATAGGCCGTATAAAGCATGTTCTATCTAAACACATCTACTGACATTTTCCTGCATTCCTGTCTATAAGACAGTATAAAGTCGTCAACAGCTCGATTCTTGAGCATTTCGTTACCTCAGGACACTTTACTCCATGACAGTTTCCCTTCAAAATCATTTATGAAGTGAAGACAAAAATTTCGAAGCTAGTGCATATTCGCCACCTCAACGTAGCATAAGCTATAGCTATCCAGCAGTATAAGCCTGCTTTTTATGTTCGAAAAAGATACATTGAATCTTCAATTTTGCTTTGATCGTTATTTCCTTTAAGAGAGCTTATTCATTTCTGTCTTTATTCACTAAAATTCTGTATGCAATAATTAATGACCTTGATAAGACCTTCTACCTGTTATCGTATCACCTTGTGACTTTATTCATCTTCCTCGGTGACTTTGTAACGACTCATTAGGCATTGATGGATGTATCATATAGTATGCTTACGATGCATAGATTTTGGAAATGATACGTCGCAAAGAAAATATTTTTCTCTGATTTATCTTTTATCAATGGGACTACTTCAGCTGTTCAAAGAGTAGCTTAGTTCAGATTTCACTTTATAATTACTGCAATAACGAATATACTAACTTATTATATAGATATTGTGAATATTGTGCTCACTAGTACTGTCAGTATCCTGCAGGTTGTCATGACAGGCAGCTGTATGTTGACTAACATTACTGGTGACTATCTCATCCGCATAGCGTATGAAGTGAGTAATTTTGAGCTAATTACTATATAATCTCTTCACTAATTGTAACATGTTTAACCTACAGCTACACATTAAGCTTACATGACAATATCCAGAATACTGAGATCGATTATGATAAGTGGAGTTTTATGGATGCGTTTAATGCAACAAATACATTTTATATTTATGTAAAATCTCATCTAAACATCATCTAAACAGAAAACTTTCACAAAGACTGACTATTGTATTCACCTGCAAATAGACTATTATTCGTTTTCAGCAACTTGTAATATGTCATCATTTTCCATTTTGATTTGACCATCTTGGTGAAATATTTTTATGAATTTATGTTACACTTAAAAATCTACTATACTCATATATTTCTCGATTGCTTCTCATTCATTAAAGAATTATCTTAATCAAAACAAATACAAAAATACTGTTCATGAGGATTTATGGAGAGCACTAACTGAGGTGAGTCATGAGAATTTGGGTGCCATCAACTGAATGTATGATCTGTAATGTGTGAAGCAATATTAAATGTTTCAAATATATCTACACGCTGTATTTTTCATGTTTAGCATAGTTGTACTTATTATGTGTTGTTAGTAGTTTGTGTTTAGGTGTGAAATTTTTGTCAGACTATAAATATTATCTTCAACTACGTCAATTTACCGTTCGTTATTTCAATTGTGTTAATGAGTTTTGCGTTGGTATTGTACAACTTTCTAGGCTGTCAAGCTTTATGAAAACGATTCACAGTTGGTAAGATGCCTGTATTATTTCTCAGGTGGACACTGATTTCACTTGCCGAACACAAACGCACTGTTAATTGTAATTAGCACCGAAAATAAATTAACAGTCCACTGTAATATTGATGTATTGCATAATTCATTGTTATTATTTAATTACATTCACAATAAGATTCCTGCTAGTTAAATAAATGGAAGCAGATTAGTCATCCAAACTGAAAGTAAATGAGACCATATGTGAGTAGAAAAAAGTTGACTTTAAGAAAGAGCAATAGAACAATAGAAATATAAGGTACAACTAGGTAGATATTGTCATAGTACAAGATAAATTATCTCTAAAAATTACTTAATATATGATTGGTAATTCCATTGGAAGTCAGGTGTATCTTATTAAACTATTGTGATAGGTTGAAGAATATAACTTGTGTATTATCTTTTCCTGTTAGAATAAGCAAATTTAATTCTGGAAAATGATTTGCATAGAAATCAGAGTATTTAATCAATGCCGGTTGTATCCAAAGTCAAAATATCAGGAGATCTGCAGTGGAACTGTGACTTTCCGAAAGTGTAGTCTACGTTAGTTGGAGTCAGTTGGCAAACGCCCTTTGATCTAGGCTTCGAGGTTGTTGACACTAGACAGCAAGGTGTACGTACCTGCAACCTGATAGGTGCCGATGTCCTGGAAGGGGTTCGAACTCGCTCTACCCCATGTTGCTGTCGGCCACCCTACCATCAAACTATTCAGGTCGGGTTGTATGCTCTGAGTAATTTCTGTTAAGAATATGCAGCTATGAAATTAAAATAACTTTATACGAAGCTAACAATAGTAAGTACCTAGTTAGTATACTTGTCGCAACTCTTCTCTCAGAGACATATACACTCTTCTATTTAAGCTTAGTACTGTACTGTCTCTTCTACAATACATTGCTTCAGTAGAGTGGAAGGTGTTAAACGAATTATCAATAGTGATTGTATATTTGAACGACTGCTTATTTTGAATACTTCAGTAACACGATATAAGGTGTACAGTTGATCCATATTGTCATGTTGTACAACTAACTTTAATGAATATTGTCTTTCACTGATAAAGAAAGTAACAGGAATAAAGATGATAGTTAATCTCTAAGATTATTTACACTAAGGCTTACTTACAATACATCACAACAGACAGACAGAGCAAGTGAGTGAGTGAGTGAGTGAGTGAGTGAGTGAGTGAGTGAGTGAGTGAGTGAGTGAGTGAGTGAGTGAGTGAGTGAGTGAGTGAGTGAGTGAGTGAGTGAGTGAGTGAGTGAGTGAGTGAGTGAGTAGGTGAGTGATTGAATCAACAAATAAAAATTGAAATAACCTGCCGTAAAGTAGATAAAGAATTTGTATTACCTACACCATAGTGAAAATCATATAAACATATTGACCAAATGGTTATCATATTTGCATCCCCTTACATGCTTCTTTAATCTGTGCCAAAAATGTTTTATCAACTATTAAAACACATTGAAATGCTTCAATTATTTTTATTCACTTATTATGTAATTCACTGGAATAGTAGAAGTGTATATTTTTATTATTATCTAAATGAGTAATCATAGTGTTGTCTTGATGAAATACATGACACTATCTATCCACTTTAAACTTTAATAGATGAAGCATCTTTTCAATGTCTACACTCTATGACTTCTACAAGTAATATATGACTGTTCTCAGATTGTTTTCTTCTTTGTATAATTACAAAACAGTTGAAAATAAGTTTTCATAGCAATCCAAACTATTCACCTTTTATTTCTTTAAAGATTTTCATTGTTTAGTCTTTATAGTTTTATGATGTACAATATGGATGATGATCATCTTTGCACCATGACTAGTCATTAGGCATTTTATTGATTGTTTCTCTCTTTTTTTGGGGGGGGGCAGGTGTGTGTGTGTGTAAATATTTAACACAAAGCACATTGCACTCAGATATTCATATTTATCCATAAACTGCACAAATGAAAGAGGAGATTATCAAACATTTTATCTATTTTTCAAATATAATAAGTATGGTTTCGATTCTTTGAAGTAAAATTTTGTTTTTCTCTCTGCATCAAGTTGATCTCATCAACTTCAGTGATTGTTAGTCATCAGCTTAGTTCATATTTCACTTCAATTTATCAGTCCGTAAAGTAAGAAATTCCTTCTGTTACGAGTTTAATTGTTACACTTATGATGATTTAATTCAACTAAACTATATGAAATGTGTATTTATACTGTTGAAAAACAGTTTTGCATAGTCTCCTTTAATTCAAACTAATGACCATTCAATATTTCAGTCTCTTAAAGTATATGACACTTGTAGTTTATTACCAAATCACCCAACTGTTGGCTAAAGTTGGAATGATGAAGTTTGTAGAAAAGAAAATGATTCCATCATTGTATTTCATGAATACTCTTCAGCTGTTTACAGTCTCAGAGTACAATGGTTATATTTCATAATTCGTTTTACAACAATATCAGTGATAATCCATATAACAAAGTGAGAGAATCAATTGTAAATAGGTAAGATAGAAGAGAAATTTACAAAGAATAGATGAGTAGATGGTTATGTAGTGAAAAAGAAGATGAAATAAGACCAAACGATAACCACCAAGGGAGTAAGAGATAAACATGAGATGGCCAGAAAGAATAAACAACAAGGAACTCACTCTGGTTGGGTAACGAACCAACCAAACAACCGATCACCCAACGTGTATGCAGAAGAAAGTGGAGATGGATTGGACTGGGCATACACTGAGAAAACTATTCGAGGACATCACACATCAGGCGAGGCCAGGCCGTCGAGTGGAATCAAAATGGGAAACGACGAGTTGGGCGTCCAAAGCGTGTGTGACATGAAGGAGATCGTTTGGCGAAGAAATGGAAGCTTGTGCGCAGTGGTGGAACCAGGTTGCAAAAGACTGCAGAGGACAGAGTGAAATGGTGATGTCCTACTGAAGCCGTATGTTCCACTAGGAACCCAAGGGACAAATAATAATAATACTAATTTCTCATCTCCTTCTTAAGTGATAATTATCTACGTATTTTGTAAAACGTCCTTCATTTCTTGATTTCAACTCATATTTACTAATTCATATTGTCAAATATTCTCATGTTTCTTATGTAACTTGCTACCATTTCTATGTTGTTGTTTTTCTCTGACAATAACTCACTGAGAATTATTCATTGATAGGTGTAGGTAGTACAGTTGGTATATCTGCAACCACTATGAAATTGTTCCCCCCTCCCTCAAGGATTCGAGCCCATATCATCCAGTGTTACAGTCAATGGTGTTAACACTCATCTATTTAGGACTCGATTGACTTTCTATAGGACATCAGTGGGGCACTGGAAGTGATCAAATGACAAAACGATCAATATAATTTGGTCACTTCTTGGACAATGTGCATTTTCAGGATTGAAAACTAAACATGAAAGGAAACATAACTCATTTATTGTCCTCGACAGTTACACAGGTTCTTACAAAAGACTTAGATAACACTGAACTAGAAGAACTCGGAGAAATACTCTTTCAAAGTAGTCACTACTATAGATTTGTGGTACAGAAACCAAAACATTATACAAAACAACTTCCGAAACTTCTGCGGAAAGTCTAATTAATCGGTATACACACTTCAAAGGTGGTGACACTCCAACGCATATCATCATCCAGTTCAACGGCAAGATATACAAAAAGATGAAAGGAACTCCGATATCCGAACTAATTGCAGAAGTAGTGATGCAGAGACTGGAAGCCATCATCCTATCTGCGATCAAACCGAAATTCTGGATTCTCTATGTGGACGACACTTTTATCATCAATAAAAAGGATGATATAGAAAACACCCACAATTTGATCAACAACGTTTTCAGTGACATCAAATTCACAATGGAGAAGGAGTCAAACAATCAACCACCGTTCCTGAATGTTCTGGTCAATAGAACAAATACGGTGAAGCTTGAAACCCAAGTGTACTCGAAGCCAGCATACACTGACCGAATCCTCAATTACAGTAGCAACAACCCAACAACACACAAGATCAGTTGCGTGCAGACTCTACTCAGAAGAGCGAGAACACACTGCAGTACAACAACTTATCGTAGAATCGAAGAAAATTACTTGATGTCCATCCTAAAAAAGCACGCTTACCCACGAAACTTTATCAGAAGTTGCCTATCACGTACATCATCAAATAGAAAATCATTGATAGAAATCAGTGAACGGATCAATTTACCGTATATAAAAAACATATCAGAAATCATGATAAGATTACTGAAACCACTTGATGGAGTTGGTGTGGCTCATAAACCGACAAATTCCCTCCAAACACTACTATGCAGACCAAAGGATGCAACAATCAACTGCAATAAGTGTAGTCAACACTACATTGGATAAAGTGGTCACCCTCTTCACCTTCGTCTACATCAACACCAATTGCCTATTAAACGCCAAGACATTTCATCACTCATTTCAATGCATGTGGATAATTATGGACTTGAATTCCATTTTACCAATGTGGAAATATTGGATGGAGAGAGGAAACCCAAAGAATTTCAGAGAATTCCTAGAAGCTTAGCATTCAGGTCAGTCAGCCAGTCAGCAATCAATAGATGTATAGACATAGACCCAATCTATCAACCAATAAGAAAAATGATGAATGACAGTGAGGTGAGTGGTCAAGCAAAGGAACAGCCAACAGGAAAGTCTATAGAATGAATGACACAACAGTCGTAGGAAACAACCAATCAGAGACCACATTGTCATGGCAAGCTACTAAATCACTGACGGAGAGAAATTGACAGCTCACTTCATACTGAAGTTAGTGCTGATGATGATGTCGTTTAGCAAGACGATGAAAGTTTCACTATAAAACAGCCCAGCTCAGGGAACATAATGCAACCTGAACTACAAATATTCTCCACTATTTCAGCTTTCTAGATATTTCAGAAGGACATGGATTCAATTGGGCTCCGGAGCTTTAAGAACAAGTTAGTACTTTGAGCCATCTCAGTGTGTAACTAACTCTAAGTATACTGGCTTCTATGGAACTAGTTATAATCTATGTATAAAGTGTTCTGTTTGAAAATGAATTCCACAGAACTAGTCTGTTTCGGTTTCAAGATGTACATGCAAGTCATTGAATATTTCCATTATTCATGGTCAAATAATTCTACCGAAATCATGCTTCATAACTGTCTAACACGTCAAATTTAAGCGTTTCACATAAGTATGATTTCGTAATGCGCTTATGTTAGAAGCTTTGCTGATTAATCGGTGTATAGAAGCACATTCTAAAATGTAGAATCACGTTCAATCACTCATTATATCTTAGTCTCAGTAATACTGAATTATTAGATAAAAGATTTCCATCTTTCAATACAAATTTCTATTCTACTTTTGAACATTTTTCTAATCTGCAATCATAAATGGTTGTTTGTTCTTGGTACTCATAAATAAGATTGTACAGCCTTGGTAAATGATGTTGTTGGAGAGGAAATTTTATTCTTTGAATAGTATTCTTTCTTCCTAACAATACACTTCCTCAATCTGGAAGTTTGTGTAAACTTATTAATTGATTTCATGTTGGAATTCATTATGGACCAACATAAAATGGAGGAATATTGGGAATCAGGGAGCACTGGACAACTGCTTCATCCTAGAATGACGCCTCTGTGAGTCGAATCCTGGACCTTCAGTTTCCATCGTCAGCTCGTTTCCAATGATCCACCCGGTCAGAATCCAATAGTATGAAGAAGAGTCCCATACTAGGACGAAACACATATTCAGTGTTTCCAGGTTCTCAATGTTCCTCTAACTGTTGTCGGCCAATGATTAATTCCAACCAGAAATACACTTCTTCACTAGGCTCAACAAGTAGTCGTAGGATGATGTAAGATTGCAGTGAATCTTTCATCAATGTACATTCTGCAAATGTTTCATTATATCCTAATTCAATATAATTCACACCATAGGCAATAGGATTTTAAGGGATCTGTGTTAATTTTTATATTTGTTCAATGTTAAATTTGATGTAAATTTGTTTTAAAACACATAGGAATTACTTTTTGTATTGTTAGGCAGCAAAACTTGTAGGGAAAGATGTAAATGTTAAATCAGTCATGGATACATGGATGAAACAAATGAATTATCCACTTGTTATTGTTCAACGAATCAATAATGGTCTATTTCAATTTGAACAAAAACACTATTTAGAGCCACCAGATGCTAAAGCAGCAAAAAATCCATCACCATATAAGTGAGTGAACTTCTCAGCTTTACTTATATTAATATCAACATTCTATCTAATAAGTGAGATATAGAGATAATTTATGCTAATAGTTTATCTGAAGTTTGATAAATAGAATCATTTTATGGATGAAAAATATGATAAAACTTGCTTATGAATAAATGTAGAGAGAAATTATGATAACGATCGATATATATGAATTGGTAAATTTTCTACTTCATCAGTAGTGATAAAAAGGTAATTTCTGGAAGAAAATCAGCTTTCAATTCGTATTGCTTAGAGTTTCCTAAAAAGCTGAATTCATATTACTAATAGGGTCATTTAAATCTGTGTCTCATTACATACAAATCAGCTTCTTCATGAGTGAGTAGAGGAAACATTCAAATTCCTAGTGACATTATACATCAAAATCTGTGTGTTTTACTTTTCACAAGATTATATAATCAATCAACCGTGAACACACTTAGTAGAATCTTCTTCTATCACGATGCTGATTTGGTAGCGTATAAAACAGACAACAAGTTTGATGATGCTTCAGTATACTGGTAAACTTGATAATTATTTTTCAATTTCTTCTACTTTCCAAACGTCTGGTTTCATCTCAGAACTTAATGAGCGAAGTACACTTATGATATTATAGGTAGACTTTCGTGAGCAGTTGATTCCGGGACATGAGGTTCGTCATATTTAGGACTTGTCAGCTAGATGCGCACCTGCCTCTCAATGACAGATATACTTATAACCAAGACTAGAACACGAGACTAATCTCTTCAAACAACAGGATATTATTTACCAGACTATCGGGTCACCACAGTGAAATCATAGAAACGGATTTATACCGCAATCAATTTTTCTCTTGATAATTGATGAATTTAAAGATTTCTGTTAAATCACTTTGCCTATTACCTAACTCCAAATTTAGTCAATCTGTTGGTCATAGGCAACTGGCTTCAAGATGTGATTCCCGAGATTCTAATTAGAAGTCATGACCAGTAGGGCCAACAAAGTCGAATATGAAGACAGCTGCTCAAAGATTGCACTGCATTCACGTCATACTTTATTATTAACTGAAAGAAGTATGACACATAATGACCATCGGATTGCAACTCAGTGACTCAATGGTGATGTGTTGGCCACAGAACCTGAACTTTCTGGGTTGGATTCCTGGTAGGATTGTGGGTGCGCACTTCTGATGAACCTCATACTAGAACGAAGAAGTTGTCTAGTCCTCCCAAGTTTTAAATGTTTCTTTAATCGATGTCAGTCCTTGAAGAGTATCACCTTGAAATGAATAAATCGTTCGGTATGTAAAAGGATAAATTAAGGTCATCTAATCTTAGTAAGGCTAATGCTCAACTCCTACCACATACACCAATGAAATTCTTCTTAGACAATATCTTGGTAAGGCTTGTTTTTATGCATTTGTTTACCACTTAAATTGCTTATCCCATATTGTAATACCCAGTTGAGTAATGTTTCCATTTTCAGCTTCACTTGGAAAATACCACTGACATATGGATCATCAAAGACTAATAATTGGGATGAAGCAGATGTTATTTGGATGATGAACAGTAAGTGATACATTGTGTATTCTCACCAATCCGCCGATGTATATGATACATAAAGTTTGACATTTCGTTAACATACAAAAGTATAGAATATGAAACGTTGATTAGACTGATATGAATGTATCGAGGCATCCACACAGGAGCCCATCTGCCGACAGCGGTCGACTAGTTCAACCCTGTATAGCAACTGGAACTTACAAGTATGATTACAATAACTGAGACCCTTTGCACACGAAGTAGCTATCGTGCCTCAGTGGCTTTGTGGACAATGCGCTTGGCGTTTGAAGAGAAGGGTTTTGAGTTCGAGCCTCTGCGAGAACGGTATCACTCACCGGAGTGCAGGTACGTCCAGCTGACAGGTCCCAATAGGAGGGAACCTGCGTCCTGAGTTCCTCCGCTAGTCACCAAATTCATTATGATATGTAAGTAGTTATATGCAGAGGAATGTGAACACGTGAAACCTTGTTGTATAGATGCTCAATATGAACACTGAGTGAATGGATGGAGTCTGTTGGCTGTATCCTATGTTTGGGAATTTGGATAAAACGACTGAGAAAGATATAGGACAAAACGATTTCAACATCAGTTATGATGATTTCTGACTGTCGCTTACTGCATACTGGTACAATTAAAGAATGGTGATGATTGACATTTTCTTCAAAATGGTAAATGAAGAGCAGTTGGTTTCAGTTCAGTGAAATGTTTTAAAATTGGATAACGAAATTCCCATATGAAAGTTCATCTCTAAATACTACCACAGAACGTCAGTGAGACCTATGAAAATTAAATGTTGTTGCTTTCACTACTTATAAATAATTGAGTAGTCCAATGTCTAAAATGGTTATCGTAACCCATTAAGGAGGACTGTTCAAGCATTAACTTGTATATTTCAAAGAGTGATTATAACATGATCCATAGATTCTGCAGGTCGACAGGTTCCCATCTTCCTGGAATTAACTACTGTTTCGAAATTCATGTCCCCATTCATTCGTTTTTCACGACGTAATATAAATTATTGTAAAATGAATGACATAATTTCCTTACAAAGTAATGTCAGAATATAAAAAATAAATTATACTCGAATTGGGCTAGAATGTGTGGAATAGAGTATAGACGTTTCGTCTTATTTGCGGCTCGTCAGCCCCCTACATCCCACTGAGTGGTGTTGTTCCCACTGATACTCGAACCATCCACCCATCACTTCAAACTCCACGGTGTTGCTCTTTAGGTCACTGGGATATGACATAGAAAGGGTATCAATTGTTATTTGATACTTGTAATTTTCCGGTTACCCTATTAGGTTCAATTCAGCGACCTCTGTAAGGAGTTTGTACGACAAGACATTCGACCTAAATCATCATCTTCCAAATCCAAAAGGTCGGTGAAGTTGAGGTAGAGAGTTGATTGCCATTCTACGCTCTGTTCTGTGATGATGTGTAGGGTTGTAATTTGGTCCGTACATGATATAAAGAGTAAACAAAACCTAAATACAGAACTTTATGTAGTTTATTTCAATTTTGTTCAGATGTTTTTAGGGAACTGATTGAATTCAAGATAGTCTGCCTTATGGATTGACATCAGTCGGACACCTTTGATCCATAGGGTAACATTTATCTTCTTATCAAGTGAAATTGGCTTGAACATCAGTTATCTATTTGATCTAATTGGAGAACGGCAGTTAATTTACTAACTACTTTTTGTAAGACACCCTTATTATATTATCAGTTGCTTTCAAGTTACTTTCAAAATTTTGTTAAGCATAATGTACTAACATAATTATACTGAGTGATGATTGAAGGTGAAATGTTGGTTTGGACCATGACTGGATTCGAATTAGGGACCATCGGATTTCCAGCCTGATGCTCTACCAACTCACTGAAGAGGTCCAACTGATCAATAGACTTTCATTTCACTTCAATCACCAAGGGTTCTTCCCGACTACCATGTGACTTCATGACGCGTTACTACTGCTTGATCGCATTCATATTGTCTAACTGGTCAGTGGTCGCTGGTTCGAATCCGGACGTGGTTCAAACTTTCATTTCACCTTCAGTCATCACCCAGTATAAATATTAGTCTGCTAAACTATGACTATCTCAGATAGTCAAATGATAATCAATATGATCCTCTCCCTCTCTGTTCCAGTTAAATTTGGATTGGAATGAGACGTCCTGACTAGACAGCCAGTATGAATAAAATCGAGCGATGATAGCGCCTCACGAATTCCCATGGTAATCAGGCAAAACCCTTGGAGAGTAGTCGGACCTCGTAGTTGAGTTGGTAGAGAATCAGGCTGAAAGCGTGACGGTCATTGGTTCGAATCCAACAGCGGTTCAAATTTTCATCCCACCTTCAATCAACTACAACTATCTCTAATAGTTAAATGATAACGTGATTATGATTATTCAGATAGTGAATATTATGTTGAAAAAACATATTAGAATTGTTTGTTTATTTTATTGTTATAAGTTTCTTTTTTCTCCTTCTATTGAACTTTACTTTATAGAGACAATGACACAAACATTAGATGTTCAACCGAATTCATGGTATTTATTCAATATTAAACAAGCTGGATTTTATCGTGTTCATTATGCTGACAATAATTGGGAATTGTTAACTGAACAATTATACAAAGACTATCGAGTATGTGTTGTTATTGTTCCACCCTGAATATCTTCGTTATCAACCAGTAATTCATTATGAAAATGTTTGATATATGAAATACATTCTGTATTTATGTCAATCAATTTCTAAAAACTTCCAATATGTTGTATTCATTGTATTGAAGGAAGCATAATGAATAGACTTCAGTTTAGTAAATGATAACTTGATTGTCAATAAAAACTCCTATGAATGAGGATTTCAATCCCCGTAATTAAGGGAAACATCACTGTTGAACTAAGTGAAAGATTTAGTATTATTGCTTGTAATATATCATCGTTGATTGGACGGAATTGATCAGTCTCTATTGGTACATGGACTCCTGCATAGATGCCTCAATATTACCCGTGTTTTAATCATAGTAATGATGAATAGTTGACAAGTCCTAAATAGGACGAATTACATATCCTGGATTTCAATACTATCTATCTCTCCATCATTATTAAAACTGGAAGATCGTTTTGTTGTTGTTTTCGTAGTCAGACTATGAAGTAAACTTACTTCTCAATATGATGATTACTTCCAGTATATCATAAGCTTCATTTACTGTTCATTTTTATAACAAAATGTATCAAACTTTAAAGCGTATTTCAATTTTTTCTAATTCTACCCACCTTTCTAATGATGTCTGATGCTGAAAAGTCATGAGTATGTAGTTTGCCTAACAGAGTTTCAACTGATCCCATTTCATTATTTTAGGCTATTCCACTTCATTCACGAACACAAATTCTGGATGATTTATTCAACTTAGCAAAGTAAGTATAGTCATTCAATGTTTATTTGGAGGTTTGTAAGAATTTTTCGATTGATTTCAGGTTAGCATTCATCATGGAATGATATCAGTTGGAGAAGCATTGGAAAGCTGAGAGGACTGCGTAGCTGTGTTTTCCTCAATGGGTGTCTTCAGAAGGTGAGTGGAGTGGAGTGGGCACTAATGACCCTGTCATGACCAGTATGGTCAGACAAATTGGATGTGAGGGCAGTTATTCAATGACGACATAGTATCGAGGCCGCGCTATGTCACGAACACATAGAAATAGGAAATTTGTACCATTGGATTGTGACCCAGATGGTCAGTGATTACGAGGGGATCGCCAAACCTGGATGTTGTACGTCCCATCCCTACCGGAGTCATGGGTACACATTACTGAGGAGTCCCATGGTTCAACATAACAGAGGTGCAGTGCTCCCAGGTTTCCAGTGTTTCTCCAAACGAAGTCAGTCAGTCAGTCATTCTATTCCAAGTAGTTTATATTCGTGTAGCGGTGACAATGTTCACTAAGGCAATATTTAAACTTACATCAACATGAAATTTTAAGTCACGTATAGAGTGAACAAATAAATGTGGCCTGTATTGAACAGTGTGCCAATTATTTCATGGAAGATGAACTGTTACTTTCTTGTGAAATCTAGTCATAAAATGATCTGAAGCAACATGTGTACCTCAGTTATGAAGGACATCGTTTACAACATGTATATATTCATTCTATTGAAATGATGAATGTCTATCTAAAATCTGAGAGATAAATGTATGTAATACACTCCAAACCAGTTATTATTGCAATTCAGTAGTTCAGTGCCTCTTTTACTCACTTTGATCAGATTTAATTATACATGTAAAACGATTTGGATGATTGTGATGGGAGCTGAACACACTGCGTATTTCTCTCCCTCAGGAATGAACACGCGACTTCATAGACTGTACAGTTGTTATCTCATCTAACTACTGAGTACTATTGGATGAGGAAACATGATGAAATTAACTTGAAGTCGATTAGAAGATGCAAATTTTATTGTTTTACTTTCGACTGTTGAGAAAAATTTGAAATCCAGTGGTTACACTTCTGTGCAGGATTAGATGGTTGCTCGTATATCTGTATGTACTGATGTAAACACTACAATTATTTTATTTCAGTATATTTCAAAATGCTTATACACAGGGAATTATAACATTCTTGTTAGCTAGGTAAACATTTATATTAAGTGGTTTGAGGCAGTTGTCAGGATGCTATTGGCGTAGGTTTCTTAATGTGAACACTGAGGAGTAATAAGGTTTTTATGAAGATTTTGTGGAATTGGCATCTCGTTAGACATTTGAACCAGAGTCATTCAGCGGTGAAGTCAAAGATGGTATGACGTTTAGTTATTGTCTAAGAAAATGTTGGCTATTTCCTCGAATCATTGGAATTCTAATCAGATTTAACTTATCATGATTTAGAAGGTGAATAATTTCCAATTGATTATTCATTTAATCAAACATTAATTATTCTCTGTTGAATGCTTCAAGTCGTGCTGCTGTGTCATATACCGTCTATCTAAATTTGACGAAATATTTGAAGAAAGAAGATCAGTATGTTGCCTGGGAAACAACACGTCGAGCACTTTCCTATCTAGACCGTATGCTTGCTATGGACGAGAATTATGGAGCATTCCAAGCATATTTACGAATACTTGTAGATGAACCGCTCAAATTAATCGACTGGACTACCATGAGAGAAGATACAGATCATATGAAGCAGTAAGTTCCACTCATTTTGCCATATTTTAGCATTTGTATTAATTCGATATATGAATTTTGGAAGGATAACTAGTTCACTAGTTACTAGCCGATCCTAAGCCCGGATAAAAGGGAAAGTTGGACATAATAGGGCTAGCAACCCTACACCGAAAAACCAATCTAACCGCTAGAGAAATTTCAAAGCACAAAGAAAGCATAAAAGATAAAATCCAATGTATTCCTCGCTGTAATCGGAGAGGTGAAATGACGATGGTTGGTGAAAGCCTTCACAAAGTCAACTGGTCATGCCGATGTGTCTTCTCTCCCTCGATGAAAGCGAAATTCAACATAGGACATGAATGTCCTCACCATGTATGAAGCTAGCACGACTGACCAGATTGCAAAAGAGATGAGAAGGTATAGCATAGAAGTGCGAGGCTAGGAATCTGTGAGGAATCAGCAGATGGAATGGAAGTGGACGCTCCAAACTGTCAACTGGAGAGGTTTCATGCTTCATAGCACTCATCAACGGCTTATCTGTAACCACAAGGAAATCCGCATCACTCAGTGATTTGGTGAGAGGCTTCACCATCAAAGCATTCAAGTCATGACTGATCTCTTTAGGGCTTGGCCAAACGATTTAGTTGTCTAGTCATTTGTGCTTATCATTGATGAAAGTCTTGAAGGATAACCCTATTGGCTTAGATAACCTAATCGATTATCCACTTGTAACCAATTCTCACTCATAATTTCTGTTTTACTACCCATCAAGCATTTCGATTGGACAATTCAATCATTCAGATGTCACAACAGTAAAGGATTCATTATGCATCATCAGTGTAGTACACTGAAGAGGTGTGTCTGTTCTAACTAATTCATAAAGATAATGAAAAGGAAATCTGTTACAGCTTAACTGACACTGACACAAATCTATGAATTGTTTGTATACATCTTTTCAAATAGTTGAATGAAACCATCTTTTAGTAGAGTAAAGTTGATGTTTATATTTTCATTTATTTCATTTTAGCATGTTACGCTTAACTTTAACAAGATTGGCATGTCAAGCTGAACACTATTCATGTGTTAAAATGGTAAAAGAATATTATCAAAAATGGATGAACAATCCTGAAGAGAACTTGTTAGTCACTTATTGATTTCATCATCATATTGTAATTGTGTTCAACTGGTCTATCTAATGGCTCATATAGTAGTTAGTGCCTTCCTTATATGATGGTGATTATCCATTGGAATTAAGTTTTTTAATCAAGATAGGCTTAATATTGAAAGTAATCATTATCATCATGAGTAGTGTTTTGCTAGAATAACTTTTCAAGTTGTTATTCATCGTCGACTGACATCATTTGGAGGAAGAAAGGAAATGTAGAAGGACTGGACAGCTGTTTCGTCCTAGTATGGAACTCCCCAGCAGTGCTTACCCACGACTCCACTAGGGATCGGACTTGTGACTTCCAGGTTCCGTGGCCAGCACCTCGCGCATTAAGCCACTGAATCAGAATCCAATCTTCCATATTTCCAACTTCTGTTAGCTCACGATATAGCGCAACCGTCACCCAATATCATTGTTGAGTTACTGTCCTCACGACCATCAGACTTTGTGTTTATTAACTAAGGGTCAAATAATAATCATCTCTAGTGATGAGTTATTGTTCAAATGGAATGAAAATCATAAGGTAGGTGTTGACCATGCTGTGAGTCAAGGTAAACAAAGTGGATGTACATATATTTCTTCTAAACACATAAGTCGAGTTTTCTTGCGTTGATCCCTATGTCTTCGGTTATGGATAAGATGCAAAGTCGTGCACCTTTAGGCAGATTGTAAAGGAGGGAGTAGAGGGACACGATATATCACAGAAAAGGCATGGTCTATCTTGATCTGGTGTTTGGTGTATACTAGATGTGAGAGGATTGCATCGTTGATGCTCTTTGTCATTCCTTGACCAAGATGGCACATGTTCATGAGCGCCCATGGATAGAGCTCAAATATTTATTAGCTACAATTATCTAATGTATTTTATAGATTTCAAGAAGGTGTTTCTTTATCAGGTGTGGTGTATGTTGGTAATAAACCATGAGAACAATTACTTGAATAGTAAGTAATAAGTAACTACCAAGAATTTGTCTAGTAGTTTGTACGTGTAAGAATTTGACTGGAGAACAACTTGATGTTATTGTAGTCATGAGTATATAGAATGAAATTCTGAACAATCAGTAAGTGGGGATAATTTAGAAAGTGATGATGACCCTTATTTAGTTGGTCATGTAGGTCATTGTAGAAAAGCTTATCCATTTGATTGAAGTTTTTCTATTTCCTTGTATCCAATTCTTACCTGAATGTGTTGGATTGGGTGGGAAGAGGTTTCATGATGGCCAGATGAAGGTGTGGCATCACCAGTCTATGAATTCCCTCTAACTGTTGATTTTAGGTGTGTAGGGAGATGTAGACTGCATGGTTGGGATCTCCAGGACCAAATGAATCATCGGTTGACGACTGTTGATACAATGGACGAAAATCGGTGACACAGGCACAGATATATTCATTCTTTGGTGTCTTCTAAAGCTTGAATATTTACACTAATCTATCTCTATCTTCTAACTGTTTGTTCTCTCATACAACTTTTTCGACTTTGATTTCATTCTTTTTTCTGTCTACATGTTCCTTTTGAGTCGATGTAACTGTGTGCGAGGTTTTATGTTGATTTCTTCAATCGATCATCTATTTGTAACTCACTAGAAATTACACTTTTTTTTCTTAACTTGTACCTTGAATGCTTAGGATACCGCCAAGTTTGAGACCAGCTATCTACTGTACAGCTATTCGTATTGGTGGTCAAAAAGAATGGGAATTTTTGAAGAGTAAATTATTAGTAGTGGATATTAAAGAAGAGGAGAAAAGTAGTATTCTACAGGCACTTTCATGTTCTCGTGATATGTGGATTATGAGACTGTAAGTTGAGATTTTCTTATAATAATACTAATGAACTTAGTGGGTTTCTGTGTACAATGAAGGATAATTATAACTTGAAAGCTTCACCTATAGAAATCATTTTTAATGTATATTATCATACAGTGAATTTATATTCTCACCTTACACGGTATTTATCAAATGAGAATTGTAAACTATTTTACTGAGAATTTTATTCAGTCAATTATGATCTGGAGATTTGTAATGATTTCGATTTCAAACTGTACATCTAAGTTACACTGACTGATTAAACATTTTTACTCATTGATGAATGACAATAGTGACAGTAATAAGCTTTGTAAAATGATGTTTGCTTCAATAAGATAATACATGTGAAATTACTGTTTATTTTATATGTCAATGTATAAGTGATTGGATATATCAGGTTTACAAGAAGCAAAAAAACTGTATTCGAGATATAGTTGTGAGAGAAAATGGCCTCATTTTATTGGGACATAACGTATAGCTAATGAAGGCAGTTGATGAAATCACAATGATATTCATCATGAAGTGATACTCATTTGAGAAGTATTGAAAGCCTGTTATGACTGGACACTACACTTGCTTCATCTTAGTATATCCACCTTTCAGTAGGGAGTAGATTCCATGTGATGAATAGGTAGTCAGCGTGATTACAATGAACAGAGATGATTACTACTAATCACACATTCACATAACAATCAACAAAAACCTTGTTTGTATAAATAAATCAAGTGAACTGAAGATCTAGTCTTCATGTGAGTGTCATACATCAGTCAGTCAAATGATAGATAACCTGTTGTATTGTATCCAACCATAATTCGAAATTGCATTTTATCCTGTATCTATGTAAATTAGTTAATCATATCATATTTAGGCATAATATGTTGTTGTTGTTACTAGTTAGTCAAGTAAATATAATTTCTTCTATTTTATCACAACTGAAAACAGACATTTGAATTGGATTATAAAAAACAATGAGAATGATCCTCAAGATTTACTGGATGCTCTGTCATCAGTCGCCTTATATCCAATTGGTCAAACGCTACTTGGGAGCATATTCGTGAAGCATGGAGATATATATTAAACGAGTAAGGTTTATTTTTGAGGAAAAATAGTTATCACCTTTTTTTCAATGTTGATTAATTCACATTAAACTGGATCATTCGTTGAATATTTTGAAATTAGTCGAATAACTTGAAAGAAAAAGTAACTCATCTCTATGGAATGATTGGAATGGTTGATAAAGGGAATCCCCAAAAGATAATGAATAAGACTTCAAATACTGTCAATTGAAATTTCCTTAGTAGTTTAGTCACAACTGATAGAATGAAGCCAATTACTCCATTGGATTATATTCTACAAATAACCTAACCGACTTCCATTTATCTTAGACATTGATCAAGTTATATTCCGTTTATGTGCACAAAGTAAACTAAAATTTGAGATTTGCTTAGATTTTATTCAACTTTATGTGTTGTTAGTACAGATGTATTGTGTAATATTCATTAGAATATTATATCTACCTATTTTCCAGTTAACTTCTCTAACCTAAGTATCTTTGTGTGTTTCATAAAAGAAACAGTTTTATCGAACACACATGTACAATTGTTGTGATGTAGAGAATTTTCGCATGTTTGTCTATAGGAAATTTTTATTACTTATCTTTCTGTATGATGAATGATTGAAGGTGAAGTGAAAATTTGGACCGTGACCGGATTCGAACCAGAGACCACTGTGTTTCCAACTCGATGATATAACAACTGAACTAAGAAGTTCGACTGCTGACCATATTTGTATTTCACTTCAATCACTAGTGGTTTTGCTCAACTATTGTGTGAATTTGTGACGTGCGTTGTGATTGCTGGATTACATTCACAATGGCTGCCGGAAATCCAGTGGTCACTGGTTCGAAGCCGACCTTGATTCAAATTTTCATTTCACCTTCAATCATCAGTATGAATAGTATGAATAATAGTCTGCCAAGCCATGGCTATCTCACATAGTCAAAATGATAATCATGATAATATGATGCTTCCGTGCTGTGATTCAGTTAGATTTCGATTGGTCTGAGAAGTCTGACAACTAGGCAGCCAGTGTGAATAAGATGAAGCGGTAATTACGCATCACAAATCCACATAGTAGTCGGGTAATACCATTGATGATTGGAGTGAAATAAAAATCTGGTCAACAGTTGAACCTTAAAGCTGAGATGATCGAAATTGAGCAGGAAACCAGTGGTTATTGATTGGTTGGAATCCGGAAACTTCGAATTCTCATTTCCCTTCAATCATCACTCAGTATCAATACCACTTTGTCAAACTATGCCTTTCTCATATAGTCGAAATGATAACTTACCTTTCTATTTTCTATTTTTAGTGGTAAAAACGCTACTCAACCTTCAACGAAAGCGTGAGTTCAATTACAAGTCACTAATTATTGTTGCTTCCTTTTGATTAAGTTAATAGTAATCCCTGCCTGCCTCCACCTGACCGACTAACCACTCGCTTTATTCAAATGATAGGTATAGGTGATATAGATTTTCAATGTTTTATGCTAATGTTAACCATTTGGAAAAAGAAGTTGAAATATTCTCCTCTTCAATACAATATACACTAATGAATTTTTATATATTATTATATCATTTTCAAGTTTTTATAATTCATTGTAACTTAAGATGAACTTTCATTACAAAATATCCCGTTTTAATTTATAGGCTATTTCAGCTTTTATTATTATTATTATTTTAAAGGATAATTAATTTTACTAGATTAAAATGATGTTTCAACATTTCCTGTTGAATACATCCAGTTGACAAGTTCCAAATAGAATGAAACATGAGTCTTAGATTTCACTACTGGACACACTTTTCAGTATTACTATCCAACTGAAATCATTGACAATATCATCAAGGCATATGCATAAGAGTCAATATCCTAATCAACACTGATCATCAATTTGATCCAATTAAATGATGTGCAATTATAACCAATAAAATATATTTGTAGCCTTTTATTGTTGATAAGATTTACACACAAAGATGAAGCAGTTTAATAGTATTCTGATTGTTTCATAATTCAATAGGTAGGTAGGTAGGTAGGTTCGGGATAGATTGAAAAGTTAACAGGATAACATTTTAAAAGATAAATATAACTAGATTTATTGGATAGATAATTTTGAATCTTGTGTATAGGAGTAAACAGAAGTGATTTGATCAACAGTCGGAACCAGTTTAGTCAAAGCGTAAGTGAACCTTAGTTACTTTTGTGTAGTTCCTGCTGGTAAGCGATGCATTCCAGTGGATATCGAGCAAAATTGATAATGTTTGTGAATAAGCAAATAGTTGAGTTGTTTTTTTTACTTTCTTACCTTTTTTAGATGTGTACTAACTGTGATGCTGAAAATACTATCAAAGCGCCATTACACACTGAACAATATACCAGATCAAGAGGAAGTTAGTGTGAAATTTTTATGTGATTACTATTTTATTATATTTTACCTTTTTCGTGAGACTTTCAAAATGTATAAAACTATGCTGCCTTGACTAGACTAGTGGATGAAAGAGACAACTACCTTTCGATGTCTCCCATTCATTGTCATTGGTGCTTGTTGTTGTTGGTGGTGGTTGGTTGGGTGTTTTAATAACCTGTGTCTTGTGTATATTGACCTGAAGTTCTGTCTTCCTTCGCTGCCTTGCCCTGCCTATTCTCCTAACTTGTTTGTTTGTGTCACATTAGATATAAATCATCATCGGTGGGAGAAATTCAAATCTTCTTCTGAGGTCTTTTCATCGGTTCAGTCAGCGTGTCCCTCTCTTCTCGTTCCTCACAGGTTCTCTTGCATAATGCAGCCCACAACAATGAGAGAGATGATCGGTGATAGTAAGCAACCTTGTCTTGTCTTACTCCTGTCACAACAATTTCAAAGGTGTCACTGAGCTTTGCATTATGAATCACTTGGCATGTAGCCTCATCATATAGCATATAACTGTTGAATGAGGTTGATAAAGGTTTGTGGAAGTAGAAGCGTAGTGTTGTAACAGTTGGCTTATTATCTGTTGGTCGACGCCTGGTTAGAAGGCCTTTCCAAAATCAATGAAGTTGTGATGAAAACTTGAATAATAATAATAATAATAATAATCCAAAAGTGTATTGATTGATATAAATGGATTGATTATCTTTTAAAGGTACTTGATATGCAAAATACTGGACAAAAATTGCTTGAAAATCATGTACTCAAACGTGGATTTGCTGATCTATTTAGAAGATCTAAAGAGAATGTGAAATGGACAAAATCTCATCGTGGTATTATTAGTCAATGGTTGAATGAAAATATTCCAAATACAACAGTATTACTTTAAACAAGAATTTATATCTTTTCTTTATTATACATACACACATACACATACACACACATATATACATACAGTGATTAATTTGTATCATTATTTGAGCACTGTTCAATAATCAACCCTTATACATACATATGTGTGTGTGTGTGTGTTTATAAATATGAGTATATATGCATGTGATTGATTGATGATGAGTGAGTGAGTATATGATAAAGATTAGCCTGATTTGTGTTTCTTCCTTCTTAAATCAACATTTGAATATGAAACATTGAATAGTAATGTGAAATCTTCTTCCCTTTTTTTTGTTGGTTTCTGTGTGTATCCCACAATTTTGTTGTAGCCTCTCATATTTTCAACCTACTTACACCAATATTTGTCTGTTTTATGGAAGATATTCACCAAATTGATCAAATTGAACGTTGATATTATTGTTATTATTATTCACCAGTCAATACATTCAGATGACTATTATATAGTGAGTGAATCTCGTTAACAGACTGATTATATAAAGTGGCGTGAGGGGGGGGGGCGGTGTTTTTTCTTAATAAATAACTTAAGATATTTGTAGAGAAAAACATTCAGTATAAAATATAATACATATTCAACTGTTTCTCATTTTCACTGAATATCTACATCTTATTGTAAATTAATCCTCGTTTAATAAGTATCCGAGTCATGTTTTGGAATATTCACATTCTCTTGAAACACTATCACTATAAACAAATAAAAAAGTTTTCATGTGATATATATGAAACAGAGTTGTTGTTTCACAATAGTCAACACGATTGAAAAAATACCCCATAAAGATTAAATGTTCAATGAGCACAATTATTGTCTACCAATGAGAATCAGTTAACTAACTATTTTATAATATGTTGAAATATACCCATTTATTGATGATTAACAAGAACAAGGCATGTATCAGTGGGGAAGAAGAAGAAGAAGAAGCATTTCTTTTCAACAACTTCATTATATCAAGTTGTACAGTGATATTTATACTGAGTAAAATGATAGATAATTGCACTGAGTCAATAGGCAAAATATACAATCGATGTAGGCGGTGGTATTTGTTCAAGTGGAAGAAATAAGAAATGGGTCATTGAATAAGGAGGAATGAATTGATAACAAGTGGTGAGATAAGGAACATGTGATGTCAAAGAATTGTAAAACGATGATAATTCAACTGAAGCATGGAAAATGGGTCAAATAATAAGGAAATAAATTGGTATTAAATAGTGAATTATGGATCAAATGATGTGAATAAAGTGAAAATTGATGTTAATAAGGATAATAAAAGAGAAGTATACCAAAGTGAAATGAAATCAAATTGATAAAATAATCAAAAATGAATTATTGAGAGCAAGGTAGAGAAAGTAATTTCACAAAGCGTTTTTGTTTTGTAGTCCATGTATAGATAATGTTTCAACTATGCATAAGTGGTGGAAATGTAAACCTTTGGAGTAGTTCAATTCAACTTTGTAAATTATCTCAAAGGATAAATCTCCAGGTACTGAATGACCCAAGTTTACTAGATGTTCACATATAGATGAAGTTGTTTTTTTCTCGCTCATCTTTAGTAAGCAACACTTTTTCAGAGGGCCAGCTTACAGCGTCTTATGTAGTCAGCTCCACAGAATCATGTGAACTTGCAGATACACATAGATGTGGACAGAAGTGGAAGCCTATCCTTCACACATTATGACGAATCAGACGGCGGCTGGAAAGTATCAATCTCAATCTCTAGCAGCATAAAAGCTACCATTGATACATCTTGGCATACGGTTTTTCAGCATTTCGGCTGTGGTGTCCCCTTTGAATTCTAGGTTCATGGTTAGGATTTTCTAAGCTGCTGTAATGGGATGGGGAGTGGTTCGTTTCTTCAGATTCTTATCAATAAATCTTTTAGGGTATCTGTTATTCGATAGTGTTTTTCTAAGGGTTTCGATTTCAACATCCACCGTGTCTTCTGAACATATTCTATAGATTCTGGAACACAGCGAGTAAATGAGATTTATTTTACAACTAAGAGGTACCCAACTATTAAATGAAATGGCTGGTCCAAGTTGGTTTTCGATAGACTGACCTTTGAAACGAGCCATCATACCTTCTCTTTAACATTACGTCTAGAAAGTGAAACGTTGAATTTAACTCTTCTTCTAAGGTGAATTTAATGGACGAGTGACAGTCATTGAAGCGACTTAACATCTCTTCCACTGAACATGTTTCGTCGCAAATAAGAAAAGTGTCGTCCATGTACCTTTTATACAAATAAAGTATCGAAATTATTTCAAGATTTGCTATAAAGATATTAGCCAGGATAGGGCCTAGTGGAGACCCCATTACAACGCCTCCATCTGATTACAAATTATATCATTGAATCTAAACTGTACATTAAACTTACATCTCAGTATTAGTTGTTTTAGGTGGCTCGTAGATAATCCAATGTTAATATTGCATATTGATTGAGCATCTCGTTTTAGTGCAATCATCCGTCACTTTACTGAGTATAAATACGACTGTACAGCATGATATTATGAAGTCGTTGAAAAGAAATATTTTATGATTTGAATAAGAGAGACAAATATGAACTGTTCACACGAACATGTTCATTTACTTGGAATTTTTATTCATGAAGCAATTTTCACAAATATTTTGTGGAAGATTAATGTGTGTGTGCTTGTTATAAACACTAAGAAGTTTGGAGAAGAGGCACGGCAGGGTAGGGAAGGGGAGGGAAGGGAGAAGAAACTTCAGGTGAATGTACACAAGACACAGATGATGAAGATACCTGACCAGCCAACAACAACAACAAGCACCAATGACGATGAACGAGGGGTAGTTGTCTCTTTCACCCACCTACCTAGACAAGGTAGCATCGTTCCAACTACAGCAGGCGGTGGCGGTGACAGCACAGATGAGGATGTCGAAGCCGTCAGGATGGGAAAGACAAGCACATAGGCTTGTCTTCAGTAATCTGAAATAATCAGTGTGGAGATCTACTACACCGCACCGCACCGCACTCCACTGCACGGCACGGCACTGCACTCAGCATAAAGCATGAACAACATCCCGATTTTCAACACCAATTTCAGTCAAGTCAGTTCTTCCAAGTGATGGTTGAGACTCGTCACGGTGGGTTACGAAAAGCATTTTCAACAAACTGTAGACATACATCACATCAACACCTGATGCCTACGCTCACTCGATTCTTACACTGAAAATCAGATAGATTGCCAGAGAGAATGAGCATCAAGGAACTCACTCTGGCTGGCAACAAACAAACCAACAACCTATCGCCCAACTCATCTGCAGAAGAGAGTGGAGATAGATTGGACTGGAATGGAGAGAGACAGAGAACACTGTTTGTGGACAATACACGTCCAGCCAGGTTGTCTAGTGGAAGACAAATGGGAAAAAATGAGTTGGGCGTCCGAAGCGATGGTGACATGCAGAACATTGTGTGAGGAAGAAATGAGGGCTTATGGGGTTTCTTAAATCCAGGTTGAGGCAACTGCAGAGAAGAGAGCGAAATGGAGACGTGTTACTGAAGCCCTATTTTACACTAGGAACCCAAGGGACAAATAAATAATATAAAAATAATAATCTTATTAACAGGCTTTTGTTTATTTCTGAGAAACCTCCACTTCATACTGAATAGATTTCTGGAAAAATGATAATTCTATTTTGCATTTCTCGTATCAAAGTCATAGAAACACTTTTGTCTAGACACTTCAATTTTACTCAACATGAGAGGTTTGTGAGAGCATAAGGTTGTAAGTGAAAAATTCATAAGCCAATCAGATGATGATAGATTGACTCGTGTTAACCTGCGTCAATTACGTTTACTTCAACATGATGCGACAATATATCTTGCGTTTAATGTAAGTCACGAAGAAATTAGCTGACCCTATGATGAATATGATAAAAGAATAATCATCATTCTAACCTACTTCAATAGCTAAAGTATAAATAGCCTTATATAATGATAATATGGTTCGTGTGAACCCACAAAAATAACAAGCAAACATAACTCATTTTGGTGACTACCATTGGAATCGTCCTATTTATGACTAATCAGCTAGATATAACCCCATCCCATCCCACTAGATGATGTTGTTTCCAGTGAGAGACAAACCCATCAAGCAATCATTACTTTAAATGCCGTGTTTTCAAGTAGGCCACTTGAGTATGAAAGGCACCTCTTGTACAACGGGTCTCAGTTGTTGTCTGATACTTGTAATTACCCGTTGCTATACTGTGTCAAAT